ACTAGAATATTTATACAAAGTTACAATCCATTTGTATAAACCCTCGAAGAAAAAAGTGACAAAATTGATTTTGACAAGGGTCGCCCCTAGTCCAAAATTGAAAATGTATTTCCTTCTTGGTTCTTTGCTCAAAAAAATTTTAGGGTGTTTTATTTGTATTTGTTTTGAGCACTAGAATATTTATGCAAAGTTTCAATCCATTTGGATAAACCCTTGAAGAAAAAAGTGACAAAAATGATTTTGACTAGGGTCGCCCCTAGTCCAAAATTGAAAATGTATTTCCTACTTGGTTCTTTGCTCAAAAAATTTTAAGATGTTTTATTTGTATTTGTTTTAAGCACTAGAATATTTATGCAAAGTTTCAATCCATTTGTATAAACCCTCGAAGAAAAAAGTGACAAAAATGATTTTGACTAGGGTCGCCCCTAGTCCAAAATTGAAAATGTATTTTCTTCTTGGTACTTTGCTCAAAAAAATTTTAGGATGTTTTATTTGTATTTGTTTGAAGCACTAAAATATTTATGCAAAGTTTCAATCCATTTGGATAAACCCTCGAAGAAAAAAGTGACAAAATTGATTTTGACCAGGGTCGCCCCTAGTCCAAAATTGAAAATGTATTTCCTTCTTGGTTCTTTGCTCAAAAAAATTTTAGGATGTTTTATTTGTATTTGTTTTAAGCACTAGAATATTTATGCAAAGTTTCAATCCATTTGGATAAACCCTCCAAGAAAAAAGTGACAAAAATGATTTTGACTAGGGTCGCCCCTAGTCCAAAATTGAAAATGTATTTCCTACTTGGTTCTTTGCTCAAAAATTTTTAAGATGGTTTATTTGTATTTGTTTTGAGCACTAGAATATTTATGCAAAGTTTCAATCCATTTGGATAAACCCTCCAAGAAAAAAGTGACAAAAATGATTTTGACTAGGGTCGCCCCTAGTCCAAAATTGAAAATGTATTTCCTACTTGGTTCTTTGCTCAAAAAATTTTAAGATGTTTTATTTGTATTTGTTTTTAACACTAGATCATTTATGCAAAGTTTTAATCCATTTGGATAAACCCTCGAAGAAAAAAGTGACAAAATTGGTTTTGACAAGGGTCGCCCCTAGTCCAAAATTGAAAATGTATTTCCTACTTGGTTCTTTGCTCAAAAAATTTTAAGATGGTTTATTTGTATTTGCTTTAAGCACTAGAATATTTATGCAAAATTTTAATCCATTTGTATAAACCCTCGAAGAAAAAAGTGACAAAAATGATTTTGACTAGGGTCGCCCCTAGTCCAAAATTGAAAATGTATTTCCTACTTGGTTCTTTGCTCAAAAAATTTTAAGATGTTTTATTTTTTTTTGTTTTAAGCACTAGAATATTTATGCAAAGTTTCAATCCATTTGTATAAACCCTCGAAGAAAAAAGTGACAAAAATGATTTTGACTAGGGTCGCCCCTAGTCCAAAATTGAAAATGTATTTTCTTCTTGGTACTTTGCTCAAAAAATTTTTAGGATGTTTTATTTGTATTTGTTTTAAGCACTAGAATATTTATGCAAAGTTTCAATCCATTTGGATAAACCCTCCAAGAAAAAAGTGACAAAAATGATTTTGACAAGGGTCGCCCCTAGTCCAAAATTGAAAATGTATTTCCTACTTGGTTCTTTGCTCAAAAAATTTTAAGATGTTTTATTTGTATTTGTTTTTAACACTAGATCATTTATGCAAAGTTTTAATCCATTTGGATAAACCCTCGAAGAAAAAAGTGACAAAATTGGTTTTGACAAGGGTCGCCCCTAGTCCAAAATTGAAAATGTATTTCCTACTTGGTTCTTTGCTCAAAAAATTTTAAGATGGTTTATTTGTATTTGCTTTAAGCACTAGAATATTTATGCAAAATTTCAATCCATTTGTATAAACCCTCGAAGAAAAAAGTGACAAAAATGATTTTGACTAGGGTCGCCCCTAGTCCAAAATTGAAAATGTATTTTCTTCTTGGTACTTTGCTCAAAAAAATTTTAGGATGTTTTATTTGTTTTTGTTTTAAGCACTAGAATATTTATACAAAGTTACAATCCATTTGTATAAACCCTCGAAGAAAAAAGTGACAAAATTGATTTTGACAAGGGTCGCCCCTAGTCCAAAATTGAAAATGTATTTCCTTCTTGGTTCTTTGCTCAAAAAAATTTTAGGGTGTTTTATTTGTATTTGTTTTGAGCACTAGAATATTTATGCAAAGTTTCAATCCATTTGGATAAACCCTTGAAGAAAAAAGTGACAAAAATGATTTTGACTAGGGTCGCCCCTAGTCCAAAATTGAAAATGTATTTCCTACTTGGTTCTTTGCTCAAAAATTTTAAGATGTTTTATTTGTATTTGTTTTAAGCACTAGAATATTTATGCAAAGTTTCAATCCATTTGTATAAACCCTCGAAGAAAAAAGTGACAAAAATGATTTTGACTAGGGTCGCCCCTAGTCCAAAATTGAAAATGTATTTTCTTCTTGGTACTTTGCTCAAAAAAATTTTAGGATGTTTTATTTGTATTTGTTTGAAGCACTAAAATATTTATGCAAAGTTTCAATCCATTTGGATAAACCCTCGAAGAAAAAAGTGACAAAATTGATTTTGACCAGGGTCGCCCCTAGTCCAAAATTGAAAATGTATTTCCTACTTGGTTCTTTGCTCAAAAAATTTTAAGATGTTTTATTTGTATTTGTTTTAAGCACTAGAATATTTATGCAAAGTTTCAATCCATTTGTATAAACCCTCGAAGAAAAAAGTGACAAAAATGATTTTGACTAGGGTCGCCCCTAGTCCAAAATTGAAAATGTATTTTCTTCTTGGTACTTTGCTCAAAAAAATTTTAGGATGTTTTATTTGTATTTGTTTGAAGCACTAAAATATTTATGCAAAGTTTCAATCCATTTGGATAAACCCTCGAAGAAAAAAGTGACAAAATTGATTTTGACCAGGGTCGCCCCTAGTCCAAAATTGAAAATGTATTTCCTACTTGGTTCTTTGCTCAAAAAATTTTAAGATGGTTTATTTGTATTTGCTTTAAGCACTAGAATATTTATGCAAAATTTCAATCCATTTGTATAAACCCTCGAAGAAAAAAGTGACAAAAATGATTTTGACTAGGGTCGCCCCTAGTCCAAAATTGAAAATGTATTTTCTTCTTGGTACTTTGCTCAAAAAAATTTTAGGATGTTTTATTTGTTTTTGTTTTAAGCACTAGAATATTTATACAAAGTTACAATCCATTTGTATAAACCCTCGAAGAAAAAAGTGACAAAATTGATTTTGACAAGGGTCGCCCCTAGTCCAAAATTGAAAATGTATTTCCTTCTTGGTTCTTTGCTCAAAAAAATTTTAGGGTGTTTTATTTGTATTTGTTTTGAGCACTAGAATATTTATGCAAAGTTTCAATCCATTTGGATAAACCCTTGAAGAAAAAAGTGACAAAAATGATTTTGACTAGGGTCGCCCCTAGTCCAAAATTGAAAATGTATTTCCTACTTGGTTCTTTGCTCAAAAAATTTTAAGATGTTTTATTTGTATTTGTTTTAAGCACTAGAATATTTATGCAAAGTTTCAATCCATTTGTATAAACCCTCGAAGAAAAAAGTGACAAAAATGATTTTGACTAGGGTCGCCCCTAGTCCAAAATTGAAAATGTATTTTCTTCTTGGTACTTTGGTCAAAAAAATTTTAGGATGTTTTATTTGTATTTGTTTGAAGCACTAAAATATTTATGCAAAGTTTCAATCCATTTGGATAAACCCTCGAAGAAAAAAGTGACAAAATTGATTTTGACCAGGGTCGCCCCTAGTCCAAAATTGAAAATGTATTTCCTTCTTGGTTCTTTGCTCAAAAAAATTTTAGGATGTTTTATTTGTATTTGTTTTAAGCACTAGAATATTTATGCAAAGTTTCAATCCATTTGGATAAACCCTCCAAGAAAAAAGTGACAAAATGATTTTGACTAGGGTCGCCCCTAGTCCAAAATTGAAAATGTATTTCCTACTTGGTTCTTTGCTCAAAAAATTTTAAGATGTTTTATTTGTATTGACATAATGCTGACATAAATCACATACCAATATTACTTTTTGTAATGCATAGCTTAAAAAAAATCGAAATCTTAAATTTCGACTACCCCATCTGAATTTTGTTCATAGTCTTCACTGTGGAAACCAAAAAACAAATTCTTTATCTTAAAACACTTGACCAAATAGCGACATAATTCAGGATTAATTACTTTTTAATAATATTCTAACATTTACGAGAAAATGTGGTTCAAATAAGTGTGAAGTATGGCCGAGATTTGGACCAAAATCAGCTATACTGGTTCATAGTGTTCCCGAGGGTGACAAAATTCAAACTAAGTGTTTTTGTAGCTGACATAATTATGACAAAAAATTAGGTATAACTTTTGAACTGTGTCGATATGGGTCTCGGCCGTACTTCACGCCCACCCTTCAAACTTATGCTGAGCAAATCTTGGTCTATCCATAAGACTTTTGATGGTACGGTGTGAATATATCCGCATTGGGTTTCTACCCGATACACTCGTTGACTATGGCTTTAAGCTGGGTCGCAACACCCTTAATGAAAGTGTTGGTGGTTCCTGTGATCTTTTCATTTCTTTAGAAAAGAGGCCGACAAACAGAAGTTGTGATTTGGATTGGATAGTTTTGGATTCAGAAATTTTTGAGCTTTTTTGAGCAATTTTTGGAATAAAGATTTTTTAATTTCAAATTTTTGTAGTTTCGAACATACCAAAATGGACCTTACAAAGCGCATAGCCATTCTATAAATTTCACTGTCTGTCTGATTGAATGGCATGTGGTTATTGGATCCAATGGTTCGAAATGACGTAAAAATTATATGCCATTTAATTTGTAATTCAATTTCCTCTATTTAGAATTTGTTTTGTAGAGGGTAATAACGCTTAATTTTGCAAAAAAAGTGAAAAAATACTCAAAAACAAAAAACTTACACGCATTGTGTGGAATTTAATTAATTATGTGGTTTAGGATTTATCATCTTTTATTTACAGTTTGTTTGTTTAAATTATTTTATGTTAATAAATTACCTACTAATAAAGAAGACCCCTAATGAAATAATAAATATTGTTATAACAAAACTAATGCTTCCATTAATTTTTAAATATTTTGAACTCATTTATAAAGAAAAAGAATACAATTAACAAAACTTAATACTAGTTTCTTTTTTAAAAAATCAAAATCAAAAAACAAATTAGTGTAGAAAACAGGAAAAGCGTATTATTTCATTTAAAAAAAGACAAGAAGAATAGAGGAGAAATTGCAGAACTGATGGTAGAATATTAATAAATTTTCGATTCGCATGATTCCTCTAGAGCTTTATCGTAACTTTATAATTTTCTTTTATGTTTCAGATAAAATCAGAGTTACAAGGTTTGAAAATACATTCATGTGACAATTATTATGCTCCATTCATACTTTAATCATTATCATAAATTCATCATTTTCAACATTTTTCCTTGATTAAAAATCGTCAATTTATAAAATAATGTGATAAACTAATTTTCAGGTCAATAAAGAGTGCTTAAACGTTTACTTAAAAAATCATTGCTATAATAATCAGCACATTTTCCTCAAATTATACTATCTTAAGTTCGTTTCATGGATTAGGTATGCTTGTTCAAGATATTTAAATAATATAAGTGTGACAGACTTGTTGTAAAAAACTATGTGAAAGTAAACGTAATCTTTTGATATGGCTACAGATTTCAAGAGAAAGTTATCTTCAAATAATGCATTTATGCTTTGGAAAATATGCTTACAGTTAATTTTATGAAAAATGGAATACGTAAAAGAAATGATAATAATAAAAATTATAAGTTTGATAGTAAAAGGACACTTGTGTATTATTTTTTTGTTTATGCTAAACATGTTTTAAGTAGCCCCTCTATCCTATCTTCTCATTGAAGTGCCGTTTAGAGGTAATGTGTATGGATTATAATACATCGTATTTTGTTGAGCCCTTTGAATGGCTGCAGGGTCTTGGTAGCTATGCGATTGCATCACGGGAATCTGACCTGAAGCGTTATTTATGAAACTTGGATTCGTAATATAACCAGATGTTTGCTGACCCGACATTCTGTAACCATATTGCATCATTGCTGTAACGTTTGGACTTACTCGACTAGCTCCAGCTGACATGTGATGATGTTGAACTGATGGTGGTGCAGGAGTTCTTGCATTTCGTCCCGTGTTCTGACCAATTGATGGTGGAACATTCATATTGTAAAATTTATATTGTAATGCCATTTGAGAACTTCCAATTGTTTGAGGAGGTGTAGAAATACTTCTATTTTGATTCAATAAATGTGATGTTGATACGTGTGGTGGCGGAGTGTTACAAAGCACGACGCTTGGTGGTGTATTACATGCTTGTTGCTGAGAATCTAAACTCGCGAGCTGTTGAAGTTTTGTTAAACTTGAAACATTTCCCATATTTAATTGATTTTGTTGTTGACATGATTGCTGATCCATTTGCGGTTGCGGTGTTACAGATGCAGGATTACTTTGTGCATTCGATGATGTTTGAGGGATTTGTGCATAAAAATTTGACGACGAAACTGCGCATGATGATGCAGATGGTGATGGCCCTAATCTTTGTTGTGGACTTGACAGTGAATTATGTATCATGTTCGAATGTGAAGGCATTGAACGATGTTGGGCGATAACTGACTGACTGTTTCCATAATTCGGTGATTGAGCCTGAATATAATTTCCATTACTGATGCCCGATGAATTCATTTGTTGTGTTAAATAACCAGATTGATGCATTCCTTGGTGATAAGCTTGTTGCATCTGAATATGTTGAAGTTGTTGTTGATTCAAATTATGCTGTATGGGACTAATCATTGGTTGATTTACATGAATTGGTGGAGTTGCACGTTGTCTTTGTTGTTGTATGCCTGGAGTTGCTGTATTCCGTGAAATTTTAGGCGTTGAAGCTCTTGCATTTGCTGAGCTGTTACTGTTAGTACTATTTGAAGAGCTATTATTGGTATTTGTATTTGCTCCATTATTAGCATTACGTGATTGACTCATCTGATTGATTTTCCTGTTATTCGATCCATTTTGCAATCCTTGTTGACTTACTGGATTGTTAGGTAACGTTTGTTGAGGACTACTCGCTGTAGCGGAGTTTGTTATGTTCATATGAGATGGCAATGTATTTTGATTTTGCTGCTGCATCGAGCAATCACTATATTGTGGTTGCATTTGCTGAGAAAGGACGCTTGGTGGTCGAATACTTTCAACTGAATTTTGTGATGCCATATCACTTGAAATACTTGCAGGAGATTCTAATTCTAATTGATTGACATCCAAATCACATTGTCCATAATGATGTAAGCTGTGCACAGAATTTGTAGTCGAATCCGGAGTGTAAACTCCTAATGACTGCATATTATCATTTGAGTTTGTTGTTGATACAATTCCTGCAGTATTTCCCTCAATATGCTGCATATCATCACTATTGTAATTCTTATTTACATTTATTGACATTAATTGACTATTCAAACTATTTCCTTTTGCTAAATGTTGACTAAGCTGTTGTGCTTGAGCTTGTTGCATGTTCATGTGGCATTGGTTTTGAGGAGAATTACTTTTTACAGTATTTATCATACAACTGTGATCCACAATTTTCTCATGTGTTTTATTATTGGCATTTGTTGAGGATTTTACTGCTTTGGACGATGTTATCGGAGTTGGATTTGTCGGATAATTTGAATGCTGTTTGTTTGATGTGCTACAAATGTCATAATGAATCTGTTGCTGGAAATTTTGTTCCTTCAACGAAGCTTTCGAGTCTTCATTTGACTTTGATTTATGTTTATCAGACTTCTTTTCACTCTTTTTTTCTTTAAGATTTACGTTTGCAGCATTCTGGGCATTATTGTATAAACTTTGCTGCGACATGTGACTAGATGCTTGCAAATGATGAGACTGATAACTTTGTTGTTGCTGCTGTTGCTGATATTGCTCATGTTGTTGATATTGTTGTGGATGGAAAGCATTTGAATAGAGGTTTTGTGTCAAATTTGCATTCGCGTAAGCCATACTAGTTGTCAAGTCAATTTGGAACTTGTTTGGAGATTTCGAATTTGAAGGATCCAGATGTGGAATATTCGCATATCCATAAAAAGATGGTTCCATTGGAGGCCAGTAAGGTGATGAATAATTAGCAAACTGATTCATCGAAGAATATTGTATTTTATTAATATCAATGGTTGAAGAATGCTTAGATGACTGTGACTTTTCAGCCTTTGTTGGCGCATTTAAATTATTTGCACTTTGTACTGTGGAATTTAAAACAGAAGCTTGATTTGATATATTTGTATGTTGCATTTGTGGCTTATTTTGAGAAGATTCTAGATGAAACTTCGATGAATCGTTTAATAAGTTTTTTGAATTTTGTGAAACTTGTGGTTGTGATGACACCTTTTCTTTTGATTTAATCATTGCTTCATTTTTCTTTGAAGCACTATTTACTGCTGGAACACTACATGTTGTACTAGTCGATGCATTACTAATGATTGGGCGATTTTGTGAAGGTTCTTCAATTTTACCTACTACATTAGTAGGGAGCATTTTTTCAGGTTGTATAACTGGTTTTAATTCTTCTATTTCCATTTCTTTTAAAATTGGCTCATTTGTATTAATAATCGAAGTTTTCGGAGAAAATTCTACTGTATTTTTAGGAGGTTCTAATGGTTTATTTTCATTTTCTAATCGAAACTCTTCACTTGATTTTATACTAACTTTTTCAAGCATATTAATTTTCAGATTTTCTTCTTTTTGGACATTTCGAAAAGTTGATTCTTTGTTGCAGCTGTTTTCTTCCTTTTCACTGTTTCGCTTTATTACACCAGTTTCTATTTGTTGAATAGGACTTGTCTTGATATTTATATCATCAGAATTTTCTACACTTTTCACAATGGTAGTCAAATCTTCTTTTTGTGGAGAAATTATCTTTTCAGCTTCCTTTTTGTTCTGTTTACTATCGATTATTACATTAGGTCGCACAACTTCATTAACTTTTATAACTTGTTCTTGAAAAGTTTCATGCATGATTTTCTTAGTCTCTGGTTCAGTGGGTTTTTCCTTTACGTCTTGTTTTATTGAAATCAATTCATTTGGAATTTTTATTTCATCCAAACTAGAAACTGATAATGTCGGTTTAGGATCATCTATTAATTTTTGTTTGATTTGTTTTTTAACGGGTGCAACAGGTGGCAATTGCTTCTCAACCACTTGTTGTTTTTCCAAAACTTGTTGTTCCTTTTCTTCTAATAAATTTTTCTTTTCAACTTCCAATGATTTCTTCGAATCCTCTTGTTTTTCCTTTTCCTCTTCGTCCTTGTTTTCAGATAGCTCTAAAGATGGCTTTGCAACCTCTTTATGTATCACTTCTTCTAAAAGAACTGGTTTTTCCTTTTCTGGCGTTACTGTTGAAGATTTTATAGAAGCATTCTTATTCTTATTAGTATTCGCACTTTCTAATAAAATATGTTTTTTAGATGAAATCTTAGCTTCTTGGTAGTTTTTGACTTCTTTTGGTGGAGTTTCAACTTTTGGTATTGGAGCTTGAATTTCTTTCAAATTCGCTTGGAAAATAGGGGCTGCAGAAGTCACTGACTTTTCTTTCTCTTTTTCTTTGTCTGTATTCTGTTCACTGTGTTTTTCGTTGTCCATCAAGCTTGGGTTCTCTATTTCTTTTTCGTAATTTTTTTGAACTAAATCATCCGCAGGTTGAGAAGATTTGGTAAAACCTTTTTGGTTCTCCACTAGTTCTAATTCTTTACTAAAGTCAATTGGTAATTTTTCTATCTTTACCGCACAGCCCATTATAGCATTTTCTTTACGGAGTTGTTCCTCTATTGAAAGTCTTTTCTTTTCCTTCATGGATAATGAATCAACACTGGATGTTCTAGTTGATTGGGCCCGCAATTTTTTTGATATAAAATCCTTGCTATTTTCACTCGTGCTTGGAATTTCTGGCGCAGATTTAATTGTATCACTAGATGCTCTTTTGAATTTAGTTTTTAAGAATCGAGATTTTATATATTCATCCTTTTTGGGAGGTAAACTTATATTTTTGATTTTTTCTCTTTCAACTTCATCATTCGTTTCCATACAAGAATTGTCGGATGATTCACTGAGATCCAATTGTTTGTGCCTCATCGGAAAAGATGTTATATGCTCATCATTAGTAGGTTGTTTTAGATTATTAGTTTTTTCTGTATTCAAAATTTTTCCAGATACTTCTTTTTCTTCTACTTCTTCAATTCGTTTGGGAGCTGTTGTAATTTTTGTTTTTGCTGTTCCAAACATTTCATCCAAAGTCTGTTGTTTCTTGTTTTGTGAGGTCGTCTTATCATTTGTAATTTTGTTTGACACATTTTGAGAAATCTCACTTTGTTGACGTTTTCTTCTTTTATGTTTTGGTTCTTCAATTGAGTTGTTAGCTTTTGAAATTTGATCAGTTTTCTGTCTTAAAATTTCAAGCATACTAGGGACTGGAGTTTTGACTTCCTCCCTAGTTATCTGTTTGTCTTTACTGTGAATATTACTTCTTAAATTATGACTGTTGTCGTTTTCATCTTCCTTTGGCATTGAATTGGTAGCTGCATTTAAACCCCTTGTAGGCGTGCTTACTTTACATGATTGTTTTTCATAATCTAAAGAATCATAAGATTTATTTAAGCTCTTGCGGGTTACAATTTTTGATACTTCTTTGTCATCTTCATCTTTAAACAATGTTTCTTTTAAATCACTTTCTGTTTCCAAATTTTTCCGTTTTCTTCCACGTTTAGGAGTTTCAAGTTGTTGTGTAGTTGTGGTTATAAACATTTCATTATTTTTAATGCCCTGTGTTTTTCGTCTTGTTCTTGATAATTCTACATTTGGAGTTTGTATTACAGGAGTTTCAATACAGCTATCATTCATAGAAACATCTTCTTCAATTTTATTAATACTTTCATTCAAAGGTTGTTCCTGTTCCTTTTCTTTTGCAGAATTTCTTATTTCGTTTAGTTGTTCATTAAGAATAGCCTGTTTTAAAGATGCTGTATTCTTACGGCGACGTTTGATGGTTCTTATTTCGCTTATTTTCGAACTTTGTAATGCTTCAACAACTGATAATTGTTTCTTCTCAACGATTACAGGTGGGTGTTCAACAACGTTTGGTAGTGAATCATTAAGCTGACTTTCCGAGTCTGATTCTCTGTGTAAAGGTTGATAATGCATTAGCAATGGAGTCCATCTTAAGCATTCGGGATCTATATAAATTCTACTTTTAGATGATTTGATCTTCTCCATATAGGTATCAACTTTCTTCCAATTTACACATAGCATTACATTATATGTATTGTCCGTATTTTTCCTGTATTTAAGAAATCCTAAAAGATGAAAAGCTTGAGCAATATCTTGATGTTGTAGACCAGTTTGCAGAGAAATATTATTGATGGAAATAGGATTCATTCGATTGTTGTGCAAATATTCAATAATAACTGATTTCCAATATGCGTGATACGAAACTCGTCCCAAATCTGATAGTGGTTTTTCTGGCGTCCCTGGAGCTCCTTCAGTTTTAGAAAGTAAATAGCTGAAGTCTATTAAAAATCGCCCATAACCTTGTCGTTGGTAGTTTGGCATTGTCATAATACAAGAGACATTATATTTTTGTTGACAATGTTTCTCTTTTGAAAAATATCCAATCAAATGATATCCTTTTCTATCGCTCTTTGCCAAAACGTAAAAAAGAAATGGCTCCACATCATAATAAAGTGTCTTATGATCTAAAAACAGTTTTGCCAATAAACATAAATTCTGACAATAAATTTTGTTTGCATTTCCATCGACTTCAAATACTGATAAGTCACCACATCTATAAATTTCTGTGCCTGGCGGATTTCTCCAGTTGCATTTATTCAAATGTCTTTGTAGCACTGACTTGCTTTTTGTGTATTTTAGACAAAACTCACAAAGGAACAATTTCGGCAATCTGAAATAAATTTTTATTTAAAATAAATTATCTTTTAAAATTGGCAGCATTATACATACCTAGCATACTCTTGTGGAAATGGACTTGAATACCAGGTTTCGATTTCATACTTTCCAAATTCTATCGCAGCAGGACACCGTTCTTGCTCGAGTAACTGTTGAGATGACACAGGGCTTAGTTTTGAAGGTGAACTTGCCATGTTAGGCTTTGTTATCTCCAAAAGTTGTTTGGCTGCCTTTTCACGCACTTCCTTGTAGATATCTGCATCTTTTTGTGAAATTCCTGGCGGCAAGGCTGGTTTATCTATTCAATCAAATACATAAAATATAATTATTAACAAGCTGATTCATTTAAATTTAAATTTGTTAATAAGAAGAGAAGATATAACAATTTTGATTTCGATAAACTTGTGGTGTGTGAAATTTTAAAGGAAATGAGAAAATTACATACGCATCAAATTAAGAGATTTTCAAAAGTGCCAGAGAAATGATGTAAATTTTTTGACACTTGTCGCTAATACTCATTAATCGTTTTTAAAATTGAATAAAGTATTGTAAAATCACCAGCAACAATTCATATAATGGGTTAGTCAGACCGATTATATAAAAATTCCAGTACACTATTATCTTTCACTATTTAATTTGCACTTATAATTGTTTTCTTTTCTTATGAGTTAAAAAAAAATCCGATACATCTAGAAAGCAACAATGATGAAAAGCCTTTAAAAAGTTATGAAAAATTCTTTCAAAACCTCAATACCAAAAAATCATATGAGTAAACATTTCCAACCGCCATACTTAACAATTTGTTAATAATCAATTCTTTTCAATATAAATATTGTATCGGAATGATAAGTATTAAAAACAAGCTAAATATGAATGATTTTTTAATTATCTCGAAAAACAAGCTATATCGAATTAAGTTAATTTGGTTTAGCATGAACGTAATTTGATTAATCCTAAATTTATTATATATTCTTGAATGCAAAAACTCAAGTGACGAAACTTTTCAGTGATTTGAAAATGAAAAGTTTCATACCATTTCAGTCAAGGAAAATAATGAGTCAGGTAGTTAGCATTGACGATAAACAATTGCATGTAAAATAATCTCTCTATAATGATGGTATTAATTAGAGACATTATTAATCATAAATAAGTACAAATTAATTTTAAAAGAATAAGTAAATAAAGGAACCACACACCACTAATAGAAGTAAAAAAAAAATCTATAATGTACTTCATTTTAAATGAAGGCATTTAATTCGAGCAACAAAATTGTTATATGTTTTTTTTTAAGGAATGTTATAAGACTCTTTTGAGTTCTTACCCAAATCAAACTGATTATTATCTGATTTATATGGCGATTGAGAACATTTATTTGTCGATTGATTGGAATTGTCCATTTCATAAGACGTATTTAAATTTTTAGCATCATTTTGTCCATGATTAGCACCCATTAAAAGACATTTATTACTTAAAATATCAAATTTTTTGTATGTTACGGCTTTTTTAAACAGTTTACTTGGAGACAGAGGATTTGCTTCTTCATCACTTGAAGCAATAAAATTATTATTCATCAGTGTGGTCGTTCGACGACTTTTCACAAAATATTCATTTGGATTTCTTAAAAGACGTTTACGCAATGCTGCTGATAATGTGTTTTGGGGATGAATATTTGAAGAGGAACTATTTGTTTTAACAATGTTATTTTTATAGTCAGAATAAGTGTCTTCCGAAGATCTTGTTTCACTGCCAGTGTTAAAAACTTTTATAGTAGTTTTCTTTGCTTCCGCCGCAAATCCCCAAATATCATTTCCAATAGTTGTTGACGATGATGAAAATCCAAAGAAACGCGATGAGGATGTGTTTTTCAATGTATGTAGAGTATCCAATTTTTGATTCTCCACAAATGGCAATGATGACCAACAATTTGATTTCTTACTAGAATTTAAAAGCTCTCTACTATTGATACATGCAAAAACATTCATCGTACTGATTGTGTCGGTTTTAAACGATTGATTAGAACCTATGAATGGCGATGGATTTAACTCCTTATTTAAACTTGAGTCATCACTATCCGATGAAGAATCACTTGATGAGGAAGAAGCACTTGACGATTCATTATCACTTGAACAACAAGAAGATTGGGACTCTTCATCTGAGGATATATGGGGAGTTTGAAGTCCTTTTAAATTATTATTATTATTATTATTATTTGTATTACTATGCATTTTTTTTGATGTTGAGATTTTTAAGGGTTGTCTACTATTACTATTATTACTATTGTTTTTAATCTTATTACGTTTGATTTTAGTATCACAGCTCGAGTCACTGTTAGATGTGAATGCATATTTATCTTGGCCAGATGATTTAGATGACAATTGAGCTTGCTCATTTGTAGCATTATCATCAAACCGTTGCTTCAATAATTTTTTTGAATTTTTCATTTCACATTTTGATTTTCTTTCTATATTAAAAACAGAGAAGCGAAAAAACTTTTGTTTTTCTTTTGATATACGATCTGACACACCCAAAATGCTATTACTTTGCTGCTGATGATTTTCAGCTAAAGATGCGACAGCATTCTCTTTAATATTTTGATCATGTTTGTGGGGCTCAAATGACCAGTTTCTATGTGATGTATTACTTAAAGATTGTTGAATATTTTTTTCGACATGATTTAGTCGAACATTGCTCGAATTATTAAACGATTCTTGACTTTTTGCTTTCTTTAAAGAACTTAAACTATTTATTTTGGTCTTTTTACCAGTTATCTCAGTGCTATCGTCGCTTTCCTCATCCGATAAATTTAATTCCTTTTTTGATTGCGTTAATGCTTTTATTGGATGTCCACGTGGTCTACCTAAGGCTTTAGAAGTGCTTGGTTTTTGTGCAGACTCAGGTAAGCTAGATCTAAAAAATTAGTATTATGAAAATTAAAAATCTTCAATAATTAATTTAAATTATGCTTTATGGGAAATTTACTTTCGTTTTGATGACTTTGAGGCTTCCTCTGACACATCCTCTCCTTTTTTATTGTTTCTATTGAGCTTTCCAGATTTTAATTTAGTTTGCTGATCTGTGCTGTTTAAAGGTGTCACTAAACTCTCCGACTTTTTATCACTCGAACATTCAGAACACCTAGTGAAATCAATAAATTGAGATTTCTGCGTATATTAATTAGATCAAGTTCAACTTACCTCCAAAGAAGTTTATAGTTTTTGTTTGCATCGCAATTTAGATGAAAACATTTGTTACATTTACCACAATTAATTAACAAGAATTCAGTATTGGATTTACAATTGTTACATCGCCGGCATTCCTTACAATACCACTTATTACCGATTTGGATAAATTTTTTTAGATCAAGAGATCGCTTGTTTGAGCCAATACATGTTGAGTGTACAAAACTATTTTTACAGCCAGAACAATTTGAAAGGTTTTCTGCAAGATTTGCACTATTTTTCAGCTCTGTACCAAGACAAATCGAGCATGATGCTTGTTTACGTCGGAGATCAGTCTGAAGTTTTTTTTTTTTTTGATAAAATTAAGGAAGAAATAAATAATTTCAATTACACACATAAATCGTTTTTTAATTCTATTTCATCCTTACCGATGACTCATTTAAAGGGGGTGGTGGTGATGTTAAAGCATCATCTTCATCATCATCATCAAAATCGTCGGTTGTATCTTGTTGATTATCAGACTTGCGTTTCTTTGAAGGTGTTCCTGACGCTCGCCTTCTTTTAGTAACTGTTGCTGTTGTTACAGCATTTGGGCCAAGTTTATACAATTTTCCATCACACAAAAGCATATTTTTTGATGTTGCGATTTTTAAAGCTTTTTTAATGATAACTTTGAAATCAAAGTTATCAGTGATTTGCAAGTTGTTGGCTTTTTGCACAAAATTTTCAATATTTTTGGAATTAGATCCATCTCTTTCGCCTAATACGCGAACAGCTTTTGTAACAAGTCGAGATAAATCAGAATTTCCATCAATTTTGATGACTTTCTTATGTGCTAAAGTTGTCGGTGATTTGTAAGAGTGGAGTCCCTTATTATAAACTTTAATAACTGCTCCAGCATCTACTGCCTGCTCCAACTTTTCGGCAACAATGTCCTCATGAAACTTATGATGACTGCCGATTGCTTGACATATTCGCTGAATACTCGGTCTCTGTTTTTGTGATCTTATTTTTCTTATTGCATCCAATATCCATCCTTGCCATATTTCAGGAGACTCATCAGATGTCTCCCTCATTTTTTACTCTAATTTATTTGGATACTAAAAAATACAATTTTTTTTTTTATCTTATACGACTTGTTTTACAAACTATAAATAGAATATTACTTAAACAATAAAAAGAAAACCAAAAAACTAGTATAGAAGTGGTAACTCGTGAGCAACAAAAGTGCATTTTCCCTGCGTGGATTATATAAGTTTACGCGTGCTATTTCAGGAAGTATTTTTACTAGTTCCATGAAAGGAATTGTCCAATCAATTTCATTTTTGGTCCAGGCTAGCTAGATTGTACTATATACATATTTTATATAAAAAGACAAAACCCGCATAAACTGGGAGCACCAGACAGTCTTTTTCTTTTAGAAAAATGCGCTTATAAATAATAAAAAAAATTTAAATCGATTCTATGAGTAATACACAATATGAGTAATATATATCATCTCAAATAAAAAAAAAAGTGAAGGCATAAAATTTGCGTCAATTTGGATATTATGCTTAAATCAATCATGCGAAGATGGGAATTTTTTATTGCATTTCGAGAGATTTTTTTTTTTATAAAATGTCCTGAACAGATCAGATAGAAAGGAATGAAAAAGTATTATGTATAATTTATACATAAAATTAAATACATGTAACGTTCGCACACAAATAAACATCTGTCATCTGGCATCATTATTATATTAAGTCACAAGAAATACACTTGAATTTAAAAACCTATAACAATTCATTTCGTATTAAACACATAAATCAGCTCAATATATGCTATTCAATTGATGTTGATTGAAAAACATTTCATTTTTGATTCATCACTAGTAAAATTTATGAATTATGCGCAGGACACTATTTACGAATTTAACCAACTGTTTTTCTATAATGGAGGATTGAATGATTTCTCGAAAGAAGAAAAAAGTCGAAATTTCTCATTTTACCATTAGATTTGATGACTAATCATAGTTAATTAATTAAGAATATATGTTGCAAACCTTACAAAACAAAATATAAATCTATTATTCCGTCAGTTTTTGTTTATTTCTTCATTTAATAGTTTTTATACTGCACTCTTTCTCTTTGACGCGCTTGAAATTTACACTTTTTTGAATTTTATCAAACTTCTTTCAATTTATTTTAATATTTCCTCGTATATTATTGCTCTTAGCACAATTATTAATCTGTTTAGACTGTTTCTAAACTCATTTTCTCGGTATAATTTATCATATAAACTTTATTATTCACTAGGTTTTAATATATTCTGAGGTGACTTGATTTCTATTCGAACCGTTTTTAATGCAATAAAAAACATTCTCCGCATTAGTATTTTTTCAATTATCTTTTATGCTCAAAGATCCACATTAAACATACTTAACAACATTAATATGATAAATAATAAGCTTAATTTTTATATTTACTTGTATTAAAAATCGTTTGAAACATTAATAATTTAAAATTTATGTATTTTTTTGCGGTGAGAATATTTAAGTTTGAGCTTTAAAGCTCACTTGTGTGCAGGGTCGACAACTAAGCAATTTTTATAAGATTCGGTCTTTTCGGTAAAAATGGCGAAAGCTGTAAGTCTTGATTTCGTGAAATTTAAAACAAAAAATTAAAATTTTAAGAGTTATTAAAGAAGTTATTAATTAAATTGGTGATTAATTAAGAGACAAGCTATTAAAGTTGTTGATTACACTGAAATTTCCACAATTAAAAGTCAAATAACTCTAAAATTACGATAAAATTTTTTGTGTTCAATATAAACACACGTTGAGCCTACAAATTTTTTAATCCATGAAAAATATTTTATTCTAGACCGTCGTAGAAACTCCAGCTGGAGCTACTAAAGATAAATCCAAGAATGTTATGCGTGATTTAAAGATCCGTAAGCTTTGCCTTAATATATGCGTCGGAGAATCTGGTGATAGATTGACAAGAGCTGCAAAGGTATGTATTCAAAAAAGTGAGGTTATTCAAAATAATTGTTATTTATCGTTTATATTCTTTAATTTAGGTATTGGAACAATTGACAGGACAACAACCTGTATACTCAAAAGCCAGATACACTGTTCGTTCCTTCGGTATCCGTCGTAATGAAAAAATTGCCGTACATTGCACAGTTCGTGGAGCAAAGGCTGAAGAAATCTTAGAAAAAGGTTTAAAGGTACGTAATTTGTTTCATTTCCTGCGACTCTTTTTAGTTCTACACATGATCAATTATTATTTGCATTATTCTTGTGACCAAATAATGCAAGGAATATGTGTTAAAGAATTTATGTCTTATATGCAACTACGGCTTACGATTTTACATACTAAGTTGTTTACAAAACGAAAGATACATGCTCTCACTTCCAAATGTCCAATAAATGATTCTCAATTTCACCTTTAGTGAATAATGTAGTAATTTTGTTTTTTTTTTTCATTCTAGGTCCGAGAATACGAGTTAAGACGTGACAACTTCTCACAAAATGGAAACTTTGGTTTCGGTATTCAAGAACACATAGATTTAGGTATCAAATACGATCCATCAATTGGTATCTATGGTCTCGATTTCTACGTTGTTTTGGGAAGACCTGGTAAGTTTATATTCTTAATGATCCAGTGATATATTATGAGCATAATAATTAGGTGCTAATATTGTGATTAAAGATATTTGCATTCAGTCAATATGCTTACAGCAAATTGTCTCAATCTTTTTGATTTAGGAAGAACACTTTACTTTCTACATGACAAAAGTTTAAGCTACAATATTCATATTTTATGCTTTCAATTGTATGTTTTGCTAATTGACAAAATTTATATTCGACAGGCTATAATGTACAACAAAGACGCCGTAAACGTGGTGTTATTGGATTCCCACATCGTCTCACGAAAGAGGATGCAATGAAATGGTTCCAACAGAAGTATGATGGTATAATTTTGGGCAGCAAGAAGTAAACAAATGAGCATAAACATTCTAATTGTTCGCAACCATATAAAAAAAAACTCTGTTTCAAAACATCTTGAAATATTAAGATTTTATTAATAAAACAAAAAATGCTGAAACCTATACCCATACATTAATTAACAATTTATAAATGCAAGCATTAAAATTTCAGCACTTTTGATGTATTGATTCTTACATGTGTATATAAACCGTACTTTCATTATGAGCGCACAAGATACAACAATCACAATAATATCTCGAGTAGAATATAAATTTCTAATATTTGCGATATGATAAACTTTTTATTTTTATATTGGTCTTCAGTTCATATCAGTCGTTCCTTATGAAAACCAGCAAGCAGTTCGAAATTGTCTTTTGAGTTATAAATTCCTAATAATTTAATAATATTAATTAAGACGTTATCTCATTCCTGTTAATTAAAGCAAATCAAATGAATTTCGGTAAAACGACGAGTATTATTATTAGCGGTAGCGCGTTCTTCTATTTATTAGCACAGAGTACAAAATTTATTAGGTAAATTGCTGCACACTGGGCAGTATTTAAAACAAAAAATATATCAAGTGTAAAATGTTTACAAAACCTAATGCGAACATGACGGAAGTGCACACAGACATAAGAATAATACATGGTTTTTATATACCTTTTTTTAACAATGCCAATGTGTACCGTAGGTATTTTATTGTAGAATTATTCTGCGTTAGTAAGAACTTACCGTTGCGTCGTGCATTTTTATTAAATAAATATTGTTAATTTAATCATATATTTCTTTTTATCAGCTATTGATTAGAAAGGAATTGATGTGCGATAACAGAAGTAAAAGTAGTTTTATGCATAAATTAAATTTATTCTCATAGTTCACGAATTAAAATAGAGCGTCAACTAAAGTCGTCTGATTACTCGTTGACCACATCTCATTGTTGCATATGTAATTCTGAAAAAGTGGATGATACAAATGTTAACTTTGTAACTTGTAAAGGTTGTGAATCTTTAGTCTGCACAAAGCAATCGTGCTCAGAACATGTGACTGATTTGGATATTTGGGAATGTGATCGTTGTCGAAAAAATCGGTAAATTTCTGGAATGTAAGTTGTTCATCAATGACGTTCAATAAGGGCTGGCTTTTGATCTGTGCATCACAAATATACTTCTTTTGTTGAAAAGTGATGAAATTTAAATAAATAAACCTTTGATTAACGTCATTTCTGAACAACTCTTTACTGTGCTTAATTGAGTGTAACAGACTGACGAAAAAGAAGTGACCATATCATGTGATTAATAAAATCGTGATCTCTTAATTAGAATTGTTCAGCAAAAAACGGGAGAATGGTTCTTAAAACAGCTCAAAGATTTTTCGGCATTCAATTTTGAAATGGCACTTGGTGAAAACATTTTAAACCTTCAAAGTTAGTATAATAATAATAATTTAAATTATAACAAAAAGGTTGATCGCAATTTATTCATATTATTGCATATTACTTCCACTTTAACTAGACGAGAACGGAAATAAAGTAATTATTTCAAAAGTCCGTGGGCTGATCGAAAAGTGCTTAATTAAAATTCTTAATGGAACAGATTTAGATGCAACGTCAATTGAGCAAATTAGTGAAAGTGAAGAGTGTAAGTTACCATGAATTAAATTAATTCTACCTACATTAAAACTATTATCATCATTAAATTACCATTATTACTTATGCAGACCTTCATGTATTCAAAAAATTCCATCATCTCCTTACCTCATTAATATTCAAATTAGAAAAGTCTATCCACATATCACTAATATACGGTAAGATCATTGTGCTTGCTTCCTTAGGGGTCGTTCACTTATTATGATACGCTTTTAGGCGGGCTCAAGGATTTCGGAACAAAAATTTAAGATTTGATCCAATAAGAATTAATGCCATTTCGTTCTTTTATATTTGGGTAGAAGGAGTAGAGAGGGAGGGGGGTTTTAAAAGTTTTTTGGCGTAACATAACGAGTGAATGGCTCGTTATCATAATTTGTGTTCCGGTTTAAGTGCTTTAAAGGCTTTTAAACGCATACGTTATCTAAAGATTCTGTAATTAAGTACTTTGGTTCTTTTTTAATCACTTCAATGATATTGCCTTTATTTTGGACCAATCATTTACAAAAGGCGTTAAAAACATTACATTAGTTTTGGAATGCAAAATGATAAGATACATTCGTAGATAATTATTTTTTTACACTTTATTGTAATTTTCTTATCAGCCAACACACATTCATTCTCACTTATCAATGATAAAGGCAATATTGTTCAAAGTAGGTAAAAATTATAACAGTCGCGAAGTAAGTTTTCGTTAATTAATAAAAGGAGCTTTTCGCATAAATTTAATTTAATTGAAATAATGTTTGAGATATTTTTTGCACATTTCTGGCCTGGATTATATTATTATATAGCTGTAGCCTTTTGTTTATATTTCCTGAGTTATTTCATAGAAGTAATGTTAAGTAAGAACAATTGTTTCTTTTTGATTTTTTTTACATTGCGCTAATAAGTTGTTATGTCTATGAATCTAGATCTACCAAATTCCAGCTGCATCAATACAGACTATGTGGAACTCAAAAGATTCGTAAATCGGGTCTGTCAGGAAGTCATCAATATATCAGATACTCTTGAATTCTCAGATGCATCAGTTCCTAAATCTTCCTTTGATCCTCAAACATACGAAGAGCTCCTGGCGACTGCTGTTCTTAATAAGGTATTTATATGTTTTGCACATTTTTGAAAACATCATAGAGAGTTGAGGTTTGTTTCATTAGCTCAATGCTATCAGGTTATTGTGCGCACGAGCATTTATAAAGCTTTAAACAATGGATAAGTACTTTAACTAATGATTTTTCAATTTCATAAACTTAAACACGTGTCATTTTCTCTCGTTATAAAATTTCAATATCCCAAAAACCGTTTACGGTTAAAGCTCTTTAACTAATGTATTTGAAGTACATTAAAACATTTATAAATAATGTTAAATAAAGAGCTTTAAGCTACTAAAAGTTTATTTTTGTAGTAATATGCCTATTTATTTACACTTAATTGCCAATTAAATACAGATAGCTATATCAAAACTGCGCTAAAGACTTTTTAAAAGAAATTGTGGAAATCAGAAAATTACATACGATAAAGAACATTTCCATGAATGCACAAAAAAGCAATAATTCTGGAGATACGCCCCTGATTTGGAAGAACTTAATTACCCCATTCTTAAGATAACCAATACTTGCATGGCTTCATTATTCAATAAAATTTCTAATGCTAATATACGTAATATGTTCTATGCTAGTACATTACAAGACCTTTTACATGTGACATGCTTTAAAAATTCTAATCAAGTTTAACAATTATAGATAACTACCGATTTTCAACACAGAAAAAAATATGGTATGAATAGTCAACTGCCAGCAGAAAAAGATACGGAAATAGCCAATGACGACGAAGATATTGACTTTAGTAACTTCTACTACGATAAAATGCATCTCGATAAAATCCAAAGTCACAAAATTTCATTGCCGGACCTGCTTAATGAATTTGACACCCTAAATGATGAAGGTATGTACCAGTGTGTACTGTAAAGTTTTTTTTTGGAATCCAGATAAACGTGATAAATTATTTGAAATGAATCTTTTTAGATTATGAGAATGGGAATCACAGTGGAAGTTGGGAAGGAAATTGGTCTTTGAAAAGGTTTCCAACAGCCAATATATCAATGCTTATTCCTGAGCCTAAATTTGGTGATGAGAAACCAAAAATCGGTGAAAAGGATATAGACGAACTTAGTGATTCCTCAAATAAAGATACAAATTCTGAAGACCTTGATGCGATTTATGAAGACGAAAATGAAGTTGAGAAGCACATGTCATACATTGATTCATTGGAAGATAATGAAGAAATATTTGCAAGTATTCTTGAAACTGCTGATATTAAGGAAGAACCAGAAAATTTCAATGACGACCAAAAGAGTATTTCAAAATTCGATAACAGTTATGACATTGAACTTGAGAATGAAGCAATTTTTAACAATATAAGTGAAATTAAAGGAAATATTGATGAAATTTTTGAACAAATCTTGGGTACAGAGAGTGACAGCAGTAATCAAAAACTACAGAACGAATCAATTGAAATTTCAACAGAAAATGTGATCAACAAAGATAACGAACAAAATACCAAAATTGAAAGGTAACACAAGCACTCCATTATTAAGTGACAAGTGATTGACTTTCTATTTTTTAGTCCAACGATTGAGGAAAGCAAGGCAAAATATAAGAGTCCACTTTTTTCTCAGTACCTTATTGAACCCATTCAGCCAATAAAAATTTCGGAAGCGCTTAAAAATGTTCCAAAAATCCAAGAAAAAATAACCGAAGCTTCTGAATTAAGAGAAAATAAGACAGTTGCAATTGCCAATAACTTGGAACTTGAAAATTTTACACAGCCACTTTCAATAATGAAACCAGAGAACCTTAATATAATCAAACCAAAGAATGACGTTGAAGACAATTCACCTCCAATTCCTGGATCAATTGCCGAACGAGAGCATCTCAAATGGCTTAAAGCCATTCCAATTGAAAATAATCCTTATTCACCAGAAGCTTTACATAAAAGATTGTCTCGAACACATGATAAACATTTTGACATAAGTTCTGATAAGCATGCTGATGAAGTTCCATCAAATAACTTTGATGAGAGACAACTGACGGATGATATCACTAAGTATGTACATACATCATGTAAAAAAAATCTCGTGACATAAAACTTATTTTATAATTTTTAAGGTATAAGCGTGACTATTACATCAATCAAAGTTCGGTATCAACAGAATCAATAAACGTAAGTTATCTTTTAGGACAGGAGATTAGAATTCTGTATTTTTTTTTTATATTCTCTAGATGCCTAAAAATGAGTCCGAAGAAAACGATGTTAATTATGCTGCATATAATTCTTTAGAACAACAAAATGACAGTAGTCTCACAACTAGCGACGATTCATTAACTAGAATTTACACTTTGAGTTCTCAAGAAACTGTCATCATTCCATCACATAAATTAGAACATGAGTCACATGTAATACATCTCATAATTTTTTATTAATAACCGACTAATGTCTTATTTATATTTTTGCAGGAAGACGTAGAGCATGAAGTGAAAAAGTTTGACATTGCCGAAGAAAACATTCTATTGCCCTCAGTGAAGAAGCTTGCTGAATTTTATGCAAGCTCGACTAATCTTTCTGAAGTTAATTCAAAGGAGCCCGAGGTGAGTTAAGCTACGAAATATGCAAATTTTAAAACTGTAGTTGTTCTTTTTATTAGGAAATGAACATTCCCGAAGGAATCAGCAAAATCACTTCAAAGAAGTATGCTACTTCAGATACTCCAGCAAACCCAATAGCATCAATTACAGCCAGAACATTGCCTCCAAAAATAAAGGAAGAATTGAGGTAAATCTAAGAATGATTACCAGTTTGAGATCCACGTTTATCAATTTTTAAAAATATTTCTAGGAAATCCTTACATGATGATTTGACAGTAATTCGCCATAATGAACGAAACGTAAGTCCAGATATCATCCAACATGGAATGGCAAAGAATAGTATTGCATACTTTGAAAATTTTTACAAATAATTTATTAAATGACAATTTCATTCTGTATTCATACTTTTTACAATTTATTGATTAATTAATTATTATTATCCATTAACGGTATTGAAATAAAATCATTTTTTATTTTAATTAAAAAATCTTCGGTTTAAGAATCGCTTCAGTGCACAAATTTGTAAATACATCTCTAATTTCCTCAATAAAATATTCGGTGCCTTTGTCGGAGTCATTATGTCCGATTCTTGGACGATTGAAATAAATTATACTCGAAAGAGGTTCTGTTTTTCTTCCAATAACAGCTTGCGACTCAATTATTCTCCCTAATTGCATCAAAAACTGTACACAGTCATCAAGCAAAGGTGGAAACGCTTCAGCAAACCTTACAATGCATGGTAAAATTGGTTTAAACATTTTAATTCTAGAATTTGTTGATAAAATCCCCAAAAGTGTTATTAACGTGTTAATGCAAAGTTTTGCAACGCCCATTCCTTTACCGAATGCATATTGTAAACTCAAATGTGATGTTAGGTCGATAGCAAATATTTGTTTGTCCATTTCGGGCATACTTAAAAGTTCAGGTATAAAGTCTAAGCAAATGTGCATTGAAGGAATTCCTTGAACTGTAAGACTCAGTAATTTTCTTGAATATCCTTGAAAATGAACCAACTTGCAAAGCGATGGTTCCGTTATAAAAACTTGATGTAAATAGGAATTGACAATTCCTCGTATTTCTCTTAGTGAATAATTGTTCCCATCCATATTGTCATATTCTTTATTTTCCATGCACGTTTCCAATAAGATTTGCACACCTAAACTTTCCTGTGAAGCAACTAAAGCTACTTTCAATTCCTCACGTTGTGCTTCATTTTGAATTTGACCTGCTTTACTAAAAAGCGGCTTATCCATCATGTGTCGAGACAATTGAATTTTTGACGCCAATAAACTAGCTTGTAGGATTTTTAAAATAATTGTTAAGGCATCAGGACATCTGAAGACTCTTTCGTCGCATCTTAAAATTTGTAACGGTTCAATGGCAATATTTTCCTGATTTAATACGATATGTTTAGTAATTGTATCATCTGGCATTAATGCATTGATTGTTAAAAGCCAAAGTTGACGAGGCAAAATTGTATTTAATTTCATCCAAACTTGTTTATATAGCTCTTGAATTAGTCTTGGAACGGATGGATCAAGAATTTTCTTAAAGTATCTTATAAAACTTTCAGCCAGTGACCAAACTTCTTCGGAAGGTCTTGACAGCATTACTTTTAATAAGCGTATCACTTTTGATGGGCATGCATGAATTTCTTCAAATGCTTCAACTATATGAAATTCGCTTATTTTTTCGACCTTTCTTGAAAATGATGCATTGATTTTCCAATTTAATCCTATCCAATCATCAACGAGCGATAAGTGTGGAAAATGTGTAATAAAAAGCCGAAGTAATGGACTGAATAATGCTTCAAAGTCATTTTGTCTTTTTTGTGCAAACTGTAATAGATATTTTATCGGTAGTTCTGAAAGAAATTCACTTGAATAACTTTTTACTAGTCGTCCACTTTGTAGGATATTAATCATGTTGTTTAAGCGTGTATCTTCATAGTATAATAAGTAATATAAGATCAATAGTTGTGATGTCAAGTCACATGCAAGATTTACTCCTTCATTGGTACTTAACACCTTCTTATCTCCTTTACCTTTTGAAATCTTGTGATTGAAAGCAATTTCAGATTTTTGAAAAACTTTCTTAATGTCACTTTCGCTCAATGGCTGCTCTGTAGACGATTTAGTATTTGATGAAATTAAAATTGAATTTACAAAAACTTCAATTAAAGCAGGCATTACTGGATGTAATGGTGTTGTTGAGTTACAAATCTGCTTAAAAATCCAGTTCTTAATAACGACTTTGTGCTTCGAAAATGCTCTTGATTTTAAAAGCTGATGTATACAATGAATTGGCAAATGACCCTGAATGTTTGCATTTAAATTATTTGTTACAGGGACTTTTACAGCATGAGCAGCAACAACTTGCTCGGTAAATATTTCTTGTGTAAAAATTTGTCTCATTCTCGATGTATTATTCTGTCTTAGAAGAATTTTCATCCCCAAAGTCGAACAAACCAAGTCGCTGATGTTTGTAAATTGATTGCTATGAAAATGAATTGCCAATAGAATCAATAGCTCTCCAAATGAAGCTGATACCTCGCTGACGCTATAATTTAAGAGGATTATTAAAAAAAAAATAATAATTGATATACACTAGGCTTTGTACCTTTCAAAATATGCTTCTTCCTTCATTAGCCACTGCATCCAATTGATTGCTTTGGCTTCGAGTTGTGGCTGAGAAATAAGTGAGGGACATGCTATCAGCATACATAAACCGAGCGATATAAAGTAAATTCCTTTAGATGATGGACGAGGCTTTGTTGTAATTAAACTGACTAAGGCAAAAATTTCATCATCGTTAAATTTCAATCCTGCAATTCCTCTCAAAGCACAATATAGTCGGAGAAGGGAAGCACATTCGACGACATGTTCATCTTGGAGATTTTGGTCGCTTATAAACGACAAAAAGTTTCTGAGTTCGCCAAGCAATTTCTCTCTCAATAAATGAAGTACATCTCCTTTTCTCTTCTGACTGGCTTTTATATACATTGAAAACCAAGTTCGAGTACTTTGATCAGTCCCTAATAATATTCCTGTCAAAAAAGGAACAAGATCTTCAGAATCATTGAGACTCAACTTTAACATTAATGAAGGCATAGCTTTTAATTGTATGCACGTTGCTCTTATTGACAATGATTGTGCTGGATTTATTTCACATAATAAGTTTAATGTTGCCAGTCTCAATTTTCCTTCAAAATTATCTTCTTCGCTGTTCAAAAGAGCCGATATTATTTCTTTAAAGCAGTCAGGCATATTTGCTACAATCCAGCAGATAATTTGTCTTCCATTATTAACATATAAAAGTATTTCAATCATTTCATTTGTTTGTAAGATTGATGGAAGTTCAGCAAGAGCAATACAGATGATATCCGAAATTTCTTCCAAATATATTTCATTGTCAAACAGCTCTGAATTAATGATTTCTGACCTATGCTGATTCTGTTCTATTATTTGAGATTGAATGTAAAATAGTTCTGATAAAACAATTCGAATCTTTCTAGTAGCATCAGCTCTTTCAAAGCCTAATATTACATTCTGAAGATCATGAAATTGTGCTGCATCTTGTTGACTGGATGATGAGTTGATTTTTTGTCTGGAAGTTTTCAAAACTTTAATAAACTCTATATTTAAGTGCAGGAATTTCTTCAAAGTTACCTCAACTGTTGCTCTTTTTTTATGTCGCTCTCCAATTCAACATAATTTACTTGCAATAAAGCTACTAAATTGTTGACAATTTCAGATCCGACTAAAATTAGCAAAAATTCCTTTTGACTTTCATCAAAATTTCTTCCAATTAAGACTGATCGAACCATACACAACAGGAAAGGTCTTATTTCCTTCTCTGAACAGTTTAATAGTTCCTTAATATTGAGGTTTTGGACGGCATTAAATGCCTTTGATGTTACAATCATTTTTTTTTTGTTGATCTTTCACGCTTTTATTTAAACTTCACTATTCCATTTAACTTCTCGATGCAATATTCCGACTACTTATCAATTGAGTATATGTTCTTTAAAGTTTCTACGATAATTAAATACCTTTTAATGCTTTAATTAAAACCTTTTTTTCGTTTTTAATAAAAGAATAATTTGAATTGTTGATATTTTTTTGTGTGTTCAATGACAAAAATTATGAATTCAAATATTTTGAAAACCGTTGAAAAAAAATTCAATAATTTTAGATTTTTCACTTAATTAAGGAATGTTTCAAGGACTGGAACAGTCCATTATCTTAAAAACAACAACAGCTATTAATAAATCACACAACAGCGTTGAATTATCTTATTGTTTGTGTGTAAACCCTATTTTGAAAAATAGTAAACAAATCGAGATAGTCAGTCATTCGATTTCTGTTCAAAGTAAGTTCATCGCATCGTGTGTCTGTAAAAAATCTAATTTCTAAGAATTAAATTGAATTAACTAATATGAGTGAAAATAAAAACAAAAAGTGTAAGTTTCTTGACATTATAAGAATAAGGGTTGGGTGAAAATCATGGGATATAAAGGATAAATTGATTAATAAAAAAATTTTCACATCATTAATCGAAAGTTTGGTTATGTTCACAAATAAATTTAAACTGCATTTTCCGAGTTATTTATCAAAAATCCAGCAATGACAATCCTTGATTAATACATTTTGGACATTATAGTATCACATTTCGTATAATTCTTGCAATAAAACATTATCCGCAAAATGTTTTAATTAAAATTTTTTAAAACAAGAAAAATTATGTATTCGAAAACAAATGACGGTATACATACATCGATTTAAGCATTAACATTGAGATGTTTGTAATATTAAAAAGTTGTTAATGTTGACAGCTTTAGAACATAATCCAATAAAAAAGAAGAAAAAAAAGACATTTCATAATCTGAATTGAAAGATTACGCAACATTATCATTTTTATATGTACATACTGTAGTCTGTATATCAAAAAAGTAGTAACTACTTTCCTTAAACAATTTACACGCTGAAAAGAAATCTGTTAAATAAATAATTGAAGAAAATACGATAAAAGTTTACATACCCACATAAAGCTAGAAGTATCGTGTGTTAGTGATCTATATATAAATCATGTGACGGAAGTTGTGCCTAAATAATAAACGATCCGATCTAATGTTGTTTTAGGTAATAATAAGAAACAGCAGAAGTCAAATGATCAGGAACTGATAAACGGTAATGCAAATGAGCACACAAAAGCGACAGCAACAGCAATGGAGAACAATAATAAGACTAACGTACTGGAAAATGAAGATGTAAAGAAGGAAGCAAACGAGATGGCAACAACAACAACAAATAATGAGGAAAGTGACATTTTAGAAATTGTACAGGATATCGGATTTTCTGTTCAAATTCTAAGTCCCGGAATAGAAGCGTTAACTATTCAAGTTTCGAGCATGGAATTGGTACAAGAAATACATCAATTGTTAATGGATCGTGAAGATACATGCCATCGTACTTGCTTTTCATTACAACTTGACGGTGTAACATTGGATAACTTTGCAGAATTAAAAAACATCGAAGGATTAAAGGAAGGATCGATTATAAAAGTTGCCGAAGAGCCATACACAATGCGTGAGGCTCGCATTCATGTTCGTCATGTACGAGATCTATTAAAATCAATGGAAACAACTGATGCATATAATGGTGTGGATTGTAGTTCACTTACATTCTTACATACAATAACACAAGGTAATAAGCAATGATAAAAAAATAAATAAGTAAAATTAATGCTAAGTGGATTTGTTTTTAATACTTTATAGGTGATTTATTGGAGAAGAAAAAGACTCGACCAGACAGCGTTGATTGCACTCCGCCAGAATACATCATGCCAAATACTAAAGATCGTGCTCTTCCAGTCTTGCCTTTACATCCCAACAATAATAAGAGTCAAAAGATACCACAAGCAATAAAAGTGTTGACAACGAGTCCATTCAATCCACCTCCTGGCTCACGAAAACTTCACGGAGACTTACTATACTTGTATGTTGTAACGATGGAAGATAAACGATTCCATATTTCGGCATGTCCAAGAGGTTTTTATGTGAACCAATCGACTGATGATGAATTCAATCCTCGTCCAAACAATCCCTCATATTTGTGCCATTCACTTATTGATTTGTTATCTCAAATATCGCCTGCATTCAAACGCTCATTCTCACAAATGCAAAAGAAGAGAACTCAACGACATCCATTTGAACGAGTTGCAACACCATATCAAGTCTATACATGGTGCGCTCCAAATTTAGAGCACACAATTGATGCTATTCGTGCTGAAGATACATTCTCTTCAAAATTAGGCTACGAAGAGCACATTCCAGGACAAACGAGAGATTGGAATGAGGAATTACAAACAACAAGAGAATTGCCAAGAAAAACACTGCCTGAACGATTACTTCGTGAACGTGCCATTTTTAAAGTTCATAGTGATTTTGTAACTGCTGCAACAAGAGGAGCAACAGCAGTAATTGATGGAAATGTTATGGCTATTAATCCTGGCGAAGAAGCTAAAATGCAAATGTTTATTTGGAACAATATTTTCTTTTCACTTGGATTTGATGTTCGTGATCATTACAAAGAATTGGGAGGTGATGCAGCTGCTCATGTTGCTCCAAGAAATGACTTGCATGGTGTTCGTGTATATAGCGCTGTCGATATTGAAGGATTGTATACTTTGGGAACTGTGGTAATTGATTATCGTGGCTACAGAGTTACAGCACAAAGTATTATTCCAGGAATTTTGGAACGAGAACAGGATCAAAGTGTAGTTTACGGATCAATTGATTTTGGCAAGACCGTTTTAAGTCACCCAAAGTATCTTGGTAAGAATTATTAGTTATATATTTATCACAATTTTTTTATGACTAATGATTTGTAATTGCTTATTTCAGAACTATTAAATAAAGCAGGACAGCATTTAAAAATATTGCCTCATTCTGTACTAAATGATAAGGATGAGACAGTTGAACTGTGCTCGTCTGTGGAATGTAAGGGAATTATTGGAAATGATGGACGACATTATATTCTTGACTTGTTGAGAACTTTCCCGCCAGATGTAAACTTTTTGAAACTTGACGAAATTGAATTGAATAAGGAAGTGGCTGAGAAAGGCTTTCCAATCGTTCATAAACATAAATTGAGCTGTCTTCGTCAAGAACTATTGGAAGCTTTTGTTGAAGACAGATATGTCATGTTTATTAAATATGCAGCATTACATCTTCAACAATTAAATAATGCTAAAAAGTCTGAACAACAACAAGGCAGTACCAAAGAATTGCGTGAAATTCGAGACTTTGACAATACTGATGAAAAAGATTCAACTGAAACTGATGTTAAGGAAAAGATTAATACGGAAGAAGTCAAGAAGATTGTTGAGTCTATTTCTGATGAGAAGCAAAGTGCAGTAGATTCTAAGAATGTTGTCAAGAAAGCATGTTTAGCAGTTGGATCATTAAAAGAAACTGAATTTGATATACGATTCAATCCAGATGTTTTTTCGAACGGAATCAGACATGTTGATAATGAAAATGAGCAATCATCATTGACAAGTCAGAAGAAACTTGTACAAGATGCAGCAGAATTCTTATTAATTCGTCAAATACCAAATTTCGTACACGATTGTTTAGATCATTCGTCAGCTCCTATGGATGGATTAACATTGACTGAACAACTTCATAATCGTGGCATTAACATCAGATATTTGGGAAAAGTTGCAAATATTTTGTCAACAATACCAAGCTTAGAATATCTTCATGGAATTGCCGTTTCAGAACTGATCGTTCGAGCAACGAAACACATTTTTAATTATTACATACAAAATGCTGATATCATGTCAATGGCGGTAGCAATAAGTCATTTCTTAAACTGTTTCCTAACAACTCAACCAGTAGTACAAACACCTCAGATTTCAAGCGATGAACTTTCAAAGACTTCAAAACGACGTTATAATAATAAAAAGAATGCTTCAAGTGGAGCTTCCAATTCAAAAGCATTAAACTCAAATCAAGCTGATACAAATTCAAATGAATGGACATCACTGACACAAAAATATTTATGGCAAATTATTAAGAAAGAATTGAAAGCATATTGGGATTATGATTTAGCATGTGAAGCTAATATCGATAAGATTATAGAACATTACAAATTACAAAAACTTAGCATATTGCGTGCCTTTAACTTAAAGATAGGCTTACAAATCTTACTACGCGAATATAATTTTGACTCGAAAAATAAACCTACATTTAATGAAGACGATATTGTCAATGTCTTCCCAGTAGTAAAACACATAAATCCTCGAGCAACTGATGCCTACAACTTTTATACAACAGGTCAAAATAAAATTCAACAAGGTTACTTTAAAGAAGGATATGAATTAATAAGTGAGGCATTAAACCTTTTAAATAATGTCTATGGAGCTCTTCATCCCGAAAATGCTCAATGTTTACGTATGCTGGCTCGTTTGAGTTACATCATGGGCGATCCACAAGAAGCATTAGCCATTCAACAAAGAGCTGTATTAATGAGCGAGAGAGTCAATGGAATCGATCATCCATACACAATCACTGAATACTCTCACTTAGCTCTATATTGTTTCGCAAATGGACAAATTTCAACAGCACTTAAATTATTGTATCGTGCAAGATATTTGGCAACTATGGTTTGTGGGGAAAATCATCCGGATATTGCTTTGATGGATGTAAGTTTTAATTTTTCCATATGTTTATAGGAAATAGAAATAATTTTTTTTTCTCTTTTGTCATGCCACAGAGTAACATTAGCTTAATATTGCATTCAGTGGGCGAATATGAACTTTCATTGCGTTTCCTCGAACACGCTCTTGCTCTCAACATCAAATATTTCGGTGCAAAGTCACTAAAAGTAGCCGTGAGTTATCATCTAGTTGCACGTACGCAAAGCTGTATGGGAGATTTCAGATCTGCATTAAATAGTGAAAAAGAAACGTATACTATTTATAAGCAATTAGTAAGTCATACATAAAAAATTTACATAATAATGACTACAATTTTTGACTAATAATATTATTTACAATTAAATAATAGCTCGGTGAAAATCATGAAAAGACTCAAGAGTCATCAGATTGTTTACGTCATCTTACACAACAAGCTGTGGTCTTACAGAAAAAGATGAATGACATTTATACAAATGGAAAATTAATTTCCGGCTTACCTCCTATACACATTCAACCACCTTCAATGGGTAGTGTGTTGGACATGCTCAATGCAATCAACGGAATTATTTTTGTTCAAATCAGGTATGTTGTCATAATCAGCATGCTTTAAATATCATAATTTCACGTCTTTATTTCATTCCAGTCAAAAAGATATCGCAAACCTCAAGAATGAAATTGAGAAGCGTCAAAAAGAAACAAATTCTGAAGACACTGAGAATGGCAACAGCATAAACACTGAGACGAATTATGATGCATCATCAAATAATAATCCCCAAGCTGTTTCAAGTTGAAACTAGGTTTCATTTCTATCTTCTACTTTTTTTAAAACACACAAAAAAATGATTAGCTTGTAGTGCAATGGTAGTTCATCATTTATAATTTTTTTCATTTGTCTTTTGAAGTGGTAAGATTTTCAGAAAATTTTGTAGATATCCTGATTATATGGGATAAACTCAGTTTGTAGTTTGTATGAAACTAAACTAGATAATATAACAATAATAATAAAATAAATTGAATTCATAAACAACAGATTAGTCTGCAACCAAAGAATCTGGAATCAAAAGCACAACTTCATACAATTTTAGAATTTTATCCCTCACATTTACTTACAACAGGGGATTACAACTACAATAATCATTTTTGTTTCCTAATTTGCAAGCAAAATTTGATTTTTTCTTTATCTTCATTTTAAGATAAAGTAATTTGAAGACCCCTGTTCTTCCTATTTTTTGATCATACAATAATCGATCAAAATTCTATAAACTAAAGTGATTAAGTACGCTGGAACTAAATTATCTTTTATCACATTTAGTTTTCTGTAGCTTTATATATTAAAAGCATAAATCATCTAGATCATCTTCTTTTTTTTAGAGTATGTCACTTCTGTTATACTAACATATACATTTTAGATACTTTAGTAAATAAACATAGACTTGAATAGTTACTGAAAAAACAATTGAATAAAAATTAGTACTTTTATTTGTATAAATCTTAAATCAATCATTTATTTTCAAGGTCCAAATTCATCCATAAGTTTACAACAGATCCGATACTATATACATGAGAAAATAAAGCATTATTACCCCCAAACAATGCACATTATAACTTAGGTACGCATCAAATTGCAAATAATTTTTTTCGATCAGTTCCAGAATTCAAACACTAGAACCACAAAACACGTGATCAAAAATCATCAAATTTTGTGGACATGGGAATAGACTAGGGAAGCATATAAATTGATAGCTTTTTTGACACCATTTTATTAGGCAAGCATTGAATTTCTGCGCTTTGCATGATTTTGAGGTTAAAGAGTTTTTACTCTTGAAGCATGCATTCATGTCCTGATGTACGGAAATGAGGCACTTTTTGGAAAATCTACACCACAAGTCTTTGAAGATGACTCATTCGAAAGCTGACATCAATACAAGATGATTCCTTAAGCTTCAATTTTTTTCGTGCACCTAGTGCCGAGTAGCAGGTCCTTAAATTTGGTTATAGGCGAATTTTCTGTTTTTTGAGATTCTTAATTCAAACTCAATTTGTACAAAAACGACTCAACCAAATGAAAAATGAACTTCAATTTCTAAAAGCATATGATAGTACCTCTATTTTGGGATATCATACTATTCTAGAATATTTATGCAAAGTTTCAATCCATTTGGATAAACCCTCGAAGAAAAAAGTGAGAAAATTGATTTTGACTAAGGTCGTTCCTAGTCCAAAATTGAAAATGTATTTCCTACTTGGTTCTTTCCTCAAAAAAATTTTAAAATGCTTTATTTGTATTTGTTTTAAGCACTTGAATATTTATGCAAAGTTTCAATCCATTTGGATAAACCCTCGAAGAAAAAAGTGACAAAATTGATTTTGACTAGTGTCGCTCCTGGTCCAAAATTGAAAATGTATTTCCTTCTTGGTTCTTTGCTCAAAAAATTTTTAGGATGTTCTTTTTGTATTTGTTTTAAGCACTAGAATATTTATGCAAAGTTTCAATCCATTTGGATAAACACTCGAAGAAAAAAGTGACAAAATTGATTTTGACTAGGGTCGCTCCTGGTCCAAAATTGAAAATGTATTTCCTTCTTGGTTCTTTGCTCAAAAAATTTTTAGGATGTTCTTTTTGTATTTGTTTTAAGCACTAGAATATTTATGCAAAGTTTCAATCCATTTGGATAAACACTCGAAGAAAAAAGTGACAAAATTGATTTTGACTAGGGTCGCCACTAGTCCAAAATTGAAAATGTATTTGCTACTTGGTTCTTTGCTCAAAAAGATTTTAGGATGTTTTATCTGTATTTGTTTTAAGCACTTGAATATTTATGCAGAGTTTCAATCCATTTGGATAAACCCTCGAAGAATAAAGTGAGAAAATTGATTTTGACTAGGGTCGCCCCTAGTCCAAAATTGATAATGTATTTCCTACTTGGTTCTTTCCTCAAAAAAATTTTAAAATGCTTTATTTGTATTTGTTTTAAGCACTTGAATATTTATGCAAAGTTTCAATCCATTTGGATAAACCCTCGAAGAAAAAAGTGACAAAATTGATTTTGACTAGGGTCGCCACTAGTCCAAAATTGAAAATGTATTTGCTACTTGGTTCTTTGCTCAAAAAGATTTTAGGATGTTTTATCTGTATTTGTTTTAAGCACTTGAATATTTATGCAGAGTTTCAATCCATTTGGATAAACCCTCGAAGAATAAAGTGAGAAAATTGATTTTGACTAGGGTCGCCCCTAGTCCAAAATTGATAATGTATTTCCTACTTGGTTCTTTGCTATAAAAAAATTTTAAAATGCTTTATTTGTATTTGTTTTAAGCACTTGAATATTTATGCAAAGTTTCAATCCATTTGGATAAACCCTCGAAGAAAAAAGTGACAAAATTGATTTTGACTAGGGTCGCCCCTAGTCCAAAATTGATAATGTATTTCCTACTTGGTTCTTTGCTCAAAAAAATTTTAGAATGTTTTATTTGTATTTGCTTTAAGTACTTAAATATTTATGCAAAGTTTCAATCCATTTGGATAAACACTCGAAGAAAAATTTGAGAAAATTGATTTTGACTAGGGTCGCCCCTAGTCCAAATTTGAAAATGTATTTCCTACTTGGTTCTTTTCTCAAAAAAATTTAAAGATGTTTTATTTGTATTTGTTTTAAGCACTAGAATATTTATGCAAAGTTTCAATCCATTTGGATAAACCCTCGAAGAAAAAAGTGACAAAATTGATTTTGACTAGGGTCGCCCCTAGTCCAAAATTGAAAATGTATTTCCTTCTTGGTTCTTTGCTCAAAAAATTTTTAGGATGTTCTTTTTGTATTTGTTTTAAGCACTTGAATATTTATGCAACGTTTTAATCCATTTGGATAAACCCTCGAAGAAAAAAGTGACAAATTTGATTTTGACTAGTGTCGCTCCTAGTCCAAAATTGAAAATGTATTTCCTACTTGGTTCTTTGCTCAAAAAAATTTTAGGATGTTTTATTTGTACTTGTTTTAAGCACTTAAATATGAATGCAAAATTTCAATCCATTTGGATAAACTTTTGAAGAAAAAAGTGAGAAAATTGATTTTGACTAAGGTCGCCCCTAGTCCAAAATTTAAAATGTATTTCCTACTTGGTTCTTTGCCCAAAAAAGAATTTAGAATGTTTTATTTGTATTTGTTTTAAGCACTTGAATATTTATGCAAAGTTTCAATCCATTTGGATAAACCCTCGAAGAAAAAAGTGAGAAAATTGATTTTGACTAGGGTCGCCCCTAGTCCAAAATTGAAAATGTATTTCCTACTTGGTTCTTTGCTCAAAAAAAATTTTGGATGCTTTATCTGTATTTGTTTTAAGCACTTGAATATTTATGCAAAGTTTCAATCCATTTGGATAAACCCTCGAAGAAAAAAGTGACAAAATTGATTTTGACTAGGGTCGCTCCTAGTCCAAAATTGAAAATGTATTTCCTACTTGGTTCTTTGCTCAAAAAAATTTTAGGATGTTTTATTTGTACTTGTTTTAAGCACTTAAATATGAATGCAAAATTTCAATCCATTTGGATAAACTTTTGAAGAAAAAAGTGAGAAAATTGATTTTGACTAGGGTCGCCCCTAGTCCAAAATTGAAAATGTATTTCCTACTTGGTTCTTTGCTCAAAAAAATTTTTAGATGTTTTATTTGTATTTGTTTTAAGCACTTGAATATTTATGGAAAGCTTCAATCCATTTGGATAAACCCTCGAAGAAAAAAGTGAGAAAATTGATTTTGACTAGGGTCGCCCCTAGTCCAAAATTGAAAATGTATTTCCTACTTGGTTCTTTCCTCAAAAAAATTTTAAGATGTTTTATTTGTATTTGTTTTAAGCACTTGAATATTTATGGAAAGCTTTAATCCATTTGGATAAACCCTCGAAGAAAAAAGTGACAAAATTGATTTTGACTAGGGTCGCCCCTAGTCCAAAATTGAAAATGTATTTCCTTCTTGGTTCTTTGCTCAAAAATTTTTTGGGATGTTTTTTTTGTATTTGTTTTAAGCACTAGAATATTTATGCAAAGTTTCAATCCATTTGGATAATCCCTCAAAGAAAAAAGTGACAAAATTGATTTTGACTAGGGTCGCCCCTAGTCCAAAATTGAAAATGTATTTCCTACTTGGTTCTTTCCTCAAAAAAATTTTAAGATGTTTTATTTGTATTTGTTTTAAGCACTTGAATATTTATGGAAAGCTTTAATCCATTTGGATAAACCCTCGAAGAAAAAAGTGACAAAATTGATTTTGACTAGGGTCGCCCCTAGTCCAAAATTGAAAATGTATTTCCTTCTTGGTTCTTTGCTCAAAAATTTTTTGGGATGTTTTTTTTGTATTTGTTTTAAGCACTAGAATATTTATGCAAAGTTTCAATCCATTTGGATAATCCCTCAAAGAAAAAAGTGACAAAATTGATTTTATTAGGGTCGCCCCTAGTCCAAAATTGAAAATGTATTTCCTTCTTGGTTCTTTGCTCAAAAAATTTTTAGGATGTTCTTTTTGAATTTGTTTTAAGCACTTGAATATTTATGGAAAGTTTCAATCCATTTGGAAAAACCCTTGAAGAAAAAAGTGACAAAATTGATTTTGACTAGGGTCGCCCCTAGTCCAAAATTGAAAATGTATTTCCTACTTGGTTCTTTGCTCAAAAAATTTTTGGGATGTTCTTTTTGTATTTGTTTTAAGCACTTGAATATTTATGCAAAGTTTTAATCCATTTGGATAAATCCTCTAAGAAAAAAGTGACAAAATTGATTTTGACTAGTGTCGCTCCTAGTCCAAAATTGAAAATGTATTTCCTACTTGGTTCTTTCCTCAAAAAAATTTTAAGATGTTTTATTTGTATTTTTTTTAAGCACTTGAATATTTATGGAAAGTTTCAATCCATTTGGATAAACCCTCGAAGAAAAAAGTGAGAAAATTGATTTTGACTAGGGTCGCCCCTAGTCCAAAATTGGAAATGTATTTCCTACTTGGTTCTTTGCTCAAAAAAATTTTAGGATGTTTTTTTTTGTACTTGTTTTAAGCACTATAATATTTATGCAAAGTTTTAATCCATTTGAATAAACCCTCGAAGAAAAAAGTGACAAAATTGATTTTGACTAGGGTCGCCCCTAGTCCAAAATTGAAAATGTATTTCCTAATTGGTTCTTTGCTCAAAAAATTTTTTGGATGTTCTTTTTGTATTTGTTTTAAGCACTTGAATATTTATGCAACGTTTTAATCCATTTGGATAAACCCTCGAAGAAAAAAGTGACAAATTTGATTTTGACTAGGGTCGCCCCTAGTCCAAAATTGAAAATGTATTTCCTACTTGGTTCTTTGCTCAAAAAATTTTTGGGATGTTCTTTTTGTATTTGTTTTAAGCACTTGAATATTTATGCAAAGTTTAAATCCATTTGGATAAACCCTCGAAGAAAAAAGTGAGAAAATTGATTTTGACTAGGGTCGCCCCTAGTCCAA